AGACGCTACTGTTTGTGCAAGATGCCGTCGGCTTGTACGAGGGGTATGCGCATGCTCCTGCAGCTTGCCTTGCCTGCGGTGCTAACCGCGTGCTCGCAGGAAGTATAAGATCCCCCAGTACCAGAATGGCCAGGCCTATCTGACCTCCCACCGCGCGTGCTATGTCGACCACAACGAGCCGCGCAAGTGCTCCGTGGCCATCAACCTGAAGGATGTGGAACGGCTGGAGTTCTACGTATGCCTGCACTGCTGTGCTGTATAAAGAGTTGTTTCTGATGATGGAGCAGGCCGGCTTCCTCAAGTCTTCGGCCAAGATAACCCTCTTTCCCAAGCCCTCGAAGCAGCTATCGCGCGGCACAACCCTATCTACGGGCGCCATACAGACCCCGTCCTCGATCACGCCAGAGAGAGGCAGCCCATTGCGCTCTCTGGCACCTTCTCCCGCACCGACACCCTCCCACAGCGCGACGTGGGTCTGTCCTATATGCTCGTTCTCGAATCCTGTCCCCTCGAACTTCGACCCCGCCACGGCAAATGCTCGGACGCCGCTCGCGCCATGTCTCGCATGTGGGATAAAACCACCATTGGTGCACGTGGTGAAAGCAGCGATATCTGCCATGACCAACAGACAGACTCCGGGGCCTCCCCCAAAAGACGATAAGCATGGGGCTCTGTCCGCGACAAGTCTCAAGGGCGGCAGCACTGCTTCAGGGACCAGTTCGTTCCTATGTCCGAGATGCACATTTGAAAACCACCCCTCTTTAATGAACTGCGAGATGTGCGGGGCATCATTACTATCTGCAGCGGACAAGCGGTTGGATTCGACGAAGAATATTGTGAGGTCCGAGTCACCAGGGCCGTCCCTCAACAGCTCACCTCTACAATCCGAGACTATCGAGAGCATAAAGTTTTCATTTCGCAGCGGCGGAGAGAAGATATTCTACGAGCGTCTGAAGAGCGCAGTAGTACAGCGGAAATGGCTTCTCCAGAGTGCTCCGCCAATTCCCAAACCCCGGCCCTCCTCTGGCGCTTTCGATGACGGGTACTCTTCTACGCCAGAGAGAAGTTCTGGAGATCTGGACCGCAATAAGGTTGTTGGAATAGCTGGTCTAGAGCGGCGAGGGTTGGAGCAAAGGAAGAACAACGAGGCCATGATCGGCAGCGCATTCGAAGACCTTGAAGCTCTCATGACGTCTGCCAAAGAAATCATAGCTCTTGCCGAGCAATTCGCCTCACAAGCCAACCTAGGCACAAACGGCAGTTCCGAGGCCAGCGCTCTCGCATCCCAGTCCGCTTCGGCGCTGGGCCTCGTAACCACAAAAGATATGCTTGGATCAGGCTCCGAGTCGCTCTATGTGTCTGAGCTTTCGAGGAACCTTGCAGAGTGGCTGACCGACGACACGAGGGGGGTTCTCAGAAACGAAGGAGGCATCATGACGCTTGTCGACCTCTGGGCCATGTTCAACCGTGCCAGAGGCGGAGTAGAGCTGGTCAGTCCTTCCGATTTTGAAAAAGCAGCGCGAATGTGGGACAAGCTCAAGCTTCCGATTCGGCTGAGACAATTCAAGAGCGGGCTGCTTGTGGTACAAGGCCGCGATCGAACCGACGAAAAGACAATCGCCAGCCTTCTAACCTGGCTACGTGAACTACACAACACTCCCCCAGCAAGCGAGGTGACATGGGACTGGAGGACGTATGGGCGAGGCGTCACAGCGCAGGAGACTGCGGAGAGATTTGGATGGAGCGTTGGTGTGGCTACTGAGGAGCTCGAGATGGCCGAGGAGAGCGGCAATCTCTGTCGTGAACAGGGTCTCGATGGGCTGAGGTTCTGGGAAAACTGGCTTGTCGCATCACCCCCTCAATCCTCCATCATGTAGGCGTTACTTATCCCGCATATAGATGTACGGTAGAATCTTACGGCCTTTACTCAGCTTGACTCCCAATACATAACGTGGTATTCTCTCAACGTTGCCGCACACAGATGAGGATCTCAGTCATGGGTGGCAGACGCAAAACTCCTAGTAGAAGATACAGCGGGTTTTGGCAAGGCATACTTCATGCATTTACCCTCCAACCAGAAATCTTTGACCCATAAGTATTACCGGTAGGCCGGAGGTTTAGACATGAAAGTACCGCGATTAGATGTCGGCCTCATTTAAACCTCCGACCCGGACACTGCTGGAGTGCGCCATCGGACTTAAAAGCTCTGGACCGGCTACCACCTGCCGATCCCACACTTGACCCCGCCATCCAACCACACCCTGAAGCTCCAGCTCCCAGAGTTGTCCTCCGCTGTCCTACCGCACAAGATGTATTTAATTCGCAGCTGTCCCTCTGCTCCGCTTCTCCATATTACCAGAATTTCGACTTCCGTCTCTCTCACATTCACCAATAAACATCCCCGTCATCCATCATGGCAGCTAAACCCATCGTCCTCGTCACGGGTGGAAACACAGGAATCGGCTACGAGACCGTGAAAGCTCTCCTGCAATCTCCAAACCCCTCCACGGTCCTGATGGGCAGCCGCTCGCTCGACAAAGCCAAAGACGCCATCCAGAAGCTCGAGGCTGAGGTCCCGGGCTCGAAATCCGAAGTCGTGGCCCTGCAGATTGATATCGAGGACGACAAGTCGATAGAGGAGTCGTACAAGGAGGTCGAGAGTAAATATGGAAAGGTAGACACGTTGGTGAATAATGCTGGTGAGTCCCCCCACCTCTTCCCCTCCCCTTCCTTTGTCTGTGTTCTTCCAACCCGATCCGTATGTACTAACGACTCCATCAAGGCGCCTCCTACGACTCGGCCGCCCGCGATACACCCGGCCCCGTCGGCCTCCGCGAAGCCTGGGACCACTCGTACTCGGTGAACGTGACCAGCACCCAAGTCTTCACCTCTACCTTCATCCCGCTCCTCCTCGCCTCCAGCAACCCGCGCCTGCTGTTCGTAACCTCGGGCCTCTCCTCCCTCAACAACTATTCCTCCGGCAAGATCGCCGCAGCCCAGACCGCCGCCGTCCCCGCTGGCTGGCCCAAACCGCCCGAGTGGAACGCAATCGCGTACCGCAGCTCCAAAACCGCGTTGAATATGATGATGTTGGATTGGGCGCGGGTGTTGAAAGCGGATGGGGTCAAGGTGTTTGCGATTAGTCCGGGGTTTCTGGCGACGGGGTTGGCGGGCGTGGGCGCCGAGACGCTGAGGAAGTTCGGCGCGGGGGATCCGAGCTTGGGCGGCATTTTTATCAAGGATGTCGTAGAGGGGAAGAGAGATGCTGATGCGGGGTTGGTGATTAACAGTGCCGGCGTGCAGCCGTGGTAGGGATGGGTGTGGGTGGTGATATGAGAATAGGTATGTAGTGGATTGCTCGACCGATCGTATACGGTCAGCGATGCATTCATACTGTTCTTTTAGATTTACCTCACATACGGAAAAGGTGTGTAACTTAGTTTCTCCACTCACATAGTCACAAATCTATCAGTGTCCAAGCCCTTTAGTGCACGCCCAACAACATCTTACCCCTGGCGCTTGTCCCTTATTCTATTCTGTAGGAATAGTGATCTGTCTTGTACGCCTTATCCTATACTCATCAGGTCGCGAAGAGCCCTCCACGCGTCCAGAACTTCTCAGGTGGCTCTGGAATAGGATTCCGACACTCTTTCATACGACGGATTCAGGAGGTGGGTCACTGGTCTTGAAAGTCTTAGAAGGGGTAATCGGCGTCCAATGGTGACCTGCGTCGTCGATGATCGATGGTGGGTTCGGTCGGTTGATTGTCAAGATGGGAGGCGATGGTCGATATGGGAGTTGATGAAGGAGAGAGCAGGTCGACAATTAGAGTTTCCATTTCCATTGCTAACTTGATCAAATCATGCTTCTGTTTTATGTTGAAGTTGTTTGGTTCTCTCGCATTGTAGCCCGTCAAGTGCCGAACTTTGACACAACTACTCGCCAATGCATCGAATTCTGCACAACTGCTCTTCAAGTGTATCACCTCCTGGAAAAAGTGTGTGTCCTCTATGCTCAGACGAATTCCTATCTCAGCCTGGCCTACAGTGCCAACAAATATCGAGTGTAATATCCAAGGAAGTTAATTTGTAGCAGTTATTACAGTATAGCCTTCGTAACCCCATGAGGTGGTAATCAGCTTCAAAAGACCCCTCTTCCAAAAAAATAAATAGAGGTCTTGGAAGGGGAGGGATGGATTTAACACGGAATAAGAGCACAATAACGCCCTTGTTTTATCATTAGATACGTGGTGATATTAAAGTTGCCGTGCAATCCGAGAGTCCTACCTACTCTTTAGTCCTCGATATCTTCCCGTAACATATAAGCTCTGTATACATATTAGCTCTATATCAAATGAATAGGCATATACGAAGAAGCAAGTATTCTGCGAGGAGTAATACCCTCACCATCTCTCCCAGGACACCAAAGTGGCCTCCGGCAACAGCCACAGCAGTGCTTTGTAGGGGGCCAGCCATTCTAATAGTTTTGTCAACTGACTGAAATAGGCTACAGGATGGATACATACATACATACACATACATACAGACATACATACATACATACATACTCACATACTCTACAATAATTGCCAGCTCCGTCATAGTGCAGAAAAGTAGTAACTCGAAACCCTTCTCACAGGATTTGAATGTACCTAACCCACATAATCAAAATGAGCCAGATAAATCCCTAAATGTTGCTCCATAGCGCCGTCGATTGATCCTCGCTTCGATTCAAAGCAAGTAGGCACAAACAACCAAACACCCTAATCTAAAACTTTTAGACTGCCTCTTCCTCTAAATTCGTCTTCAAGATTAAAATAGTTTAAAAATCTCAGTATCATGTATGCGGTACATACATATACATATACACACAGAAATAAAACTAACGAACTTGCAACTCGCCAAAACAAGCCCTGCAAACCCCCTCCCCCAAACTCGAGTAAAAAGAATTCAAGAGGAAACCGAAAAAAAAAAAAAAAAATTGCAAAAAGAAAAGCGTAATTCCGACACCGGGAATCGAACCCGGGCCTTGCCGGCACCCCGAGGAGTGGTTCAACTCTTTGTAGAATGAGAGCGGCAAATCCTAGCCACTAGACCATATCGGATTAACAAACACTTTGTCTGTTGAATATGGAGATTTCGGTCGATTGAGAAATATATATAGACGTATCAGATATATTGTCGGGATAGACGCAGGAAAAAAAAAAAAAGGGTGGGGTTGGGAATCCCCGAGTGTGAGAATTTGAGCGGGGGTTCGATTGGACTGGGACGAGGCGGGGTGGGGTGGGGCGGGCGGGGGTGTGGAAAATCTGCACTATTGAATTTTTTGAATTTCTTTTTTTGGGATTATGGATTTTGGATTTTGGATTTTGGATTTGTGGCGCCTGGGCCTCTTAGTTTTCGATGCTTCTACTTTTACTCTACATGTCTTAAGAATTGGACCGAAGCGCGAACTATACATGGGTTTTGTTGAGTGACCGCGACGGAACTATCAGCACCTGTCTCTGTCTCTCCCCCGCCATAGATGCGTTTGGATGCTGCATGCATGCAATCTCGCACGTCTCCTGAGACGGCAGCACTCTAATGATCAATATAGCCTCATATAGCCCTCTCTCTCTCTCTCCCTACCTACCTACCTGCCTACCTACCTGCAGTCTCACGCGCGCTGGGCGAAAACTACATACATGGTAACCCCAGCGCCAGTCCGATGTCCTTGGATCACACGCAAACCTAGATCCAGTCTCAGAGACTCTGTCTATACATTTAACTTTTTTTTTCTTTCCACCTCCTCGATGCGCTCCGTTGCCGGTCGTCCACTCCGTTCTCCCCCGCCGCGCCGCGCCGCGCTGCCCCATACATGCATGCTCCCATCTAGCCACCAACAACCAGATGTACCCCGTCTCCACGCCGCCTTCTCATCCAACGGGGTATATGGAGTTGTGGGGGGGAATCGACCGGCGGGCGAGCGATGCGTTCGCTGGGTTTGCATCTGGTCTTGTCTGGTCTTGTCTTGTCTTGTCTTGTCTTGCATGGTGATGCCGCGCCCTTGCACGCGGTCGGACGGTACTTCGTCGCTCGGAGGCAACGCGACGGGGGATACGCAAACCGCGTCGAGGCTGCCAATCTGATGGGCTTCTTGCGCGCGGAGAGGCGTGGCTTGGTCTCTGTGGGGTGCCCTTTTCATGAACTGGTTTGCGCAGTGTAAAGTTCTAGAGTGTCATCTTCTTCCAGGGTTCATCCCTTGTTGCTGTCCCGCTGTCATGGTAGGCGTGGGTGAATGGGTATTGGAGTGGAGGACCATGTCAACGTTGCCCAGGCGCGATTCTGCAAAGTCGGCGTTTGCGTGTGGAGTTTGAGCACTGTACATGAGCAGTTTTCAGGATATCTTCTCTAGAAGAGGAGAGGGAACGACATGGTTCTGGCCGGGTGCTGCATCCGACCTTTGACCAAGAAAAATGAAAGGAAAAGCTCAAGGGAATGGCTGGCCTTTGCTATGGGTTGGCGCATACAAAGGGGTCCGTACAAAGCCGCTTCTAGCTCCCAATCCACCCTTGAATCCAAGTCGAAGAAGTGGTAAAACGGATGAGCATTTGCGCGACTTCATATTCTACCAAGTAAACACAGGCCTCTCTATTCCAGCGGATGCGACAAGCGCAAGGAGTGTTGTCTGGGTGCGAATCAGGAGGCCGTTGCGCAACGCCCTTCTCGCCCTCCTCGCTCTGCTCGAAGCGTGGTTGTAATCAGTCGTGCAGCAGTCGTTGCCTGCAAGATAGATAACTAGATGGCTTGACGTGACGGCCCTATTCGCTGCGCCCAATGGACGTGGACGTGGTGACGAATGGCGACGAGGACCCTGATGGAGCGGGCGTCGAGGGCGCTGATTCGCGGGCCATGGAATGATCTTAATCTCTGGATTGTCTTTTCGGTCGTCGAGGGTAACACAGGTATGATCTCAAGGAACGCAGGGTTTCGACGACATGTACTACATAGTGTGATGGCAGATGTTATTTGATGGAAGACGGGATCAATGGCTGGCTGTGGTGTGCGATTCCAAGAGCTGAACAATCTATTTCCCGTCCAACGGAGCGCCACGATGGGAACATAATTATGTAGTTCACAATTTAACAGCAATGCAAATATCTCAACATGTGGCAATATCGAATCGATGGGAATGACATGCTCTGCTACCCCTTTTCTCGGAGCGTCCGGAGGTACTCTTGTCATTACCACTTGTATGAACCGTCCAGAGCATTCAACCCTCCACTCGCGCGCGGCACGCAAGGTCACCAGATTCTTGCGGAACTAGCAAAGCCATCGAACCACTTGCACAGAACACTTGGTGATGCTTTTTCTCCACTGCGGGATGCGATCGCGATCAGCCCTAGGAATGGTGGTGGCTAGAGGATGCTTCGGCCGAGTCAGTAGGCATCTTCCGTCTGCTCGCGAGCGTCAGTAATCCGGGCTTGGACGAGGAGTTGTCACTGATGGCAATCTGATGGGAGAGCGAAGCAGTGCTGCCGCTTCGACCATTTCGAAATCCGGTGAACAACGGCTTCGGAGAGCCACAGGATATGTCCTGGCAGCATGGCAACCTAGTGTGGCCCTCACGTGCCCTCGCAATACATGCTCAAAGGGTACGACACGTGCTGAGAGTGCTGAAGATCGCACTGATGCAGTTAACTTGATGTACGGTACGCTGCGAGGCAGTGGCGGGAAGGTTAGCCTGGGTTTCTCCAAGCTTCCGCGTACAGCCACTGAAGAAAGCTTTCGCTAAATGGACCTCGAAGAGGAAAGCAGACTTGGTAGTCGCCGTTCATCTGAACCTTGAATAGGAAGGGGCTAGGGAGTAGCGCAGGCTCGTAGGCGCCACGGACTCTGTGGGCCGTGGCAGTCTCACGGCTAGTTGATCGTTAGCCACCACGACTGTGCCCCTACACAAGGTCCAAGGAGGCGTATTCTTGCATGCCGTATTTCCCAGTTTCGTCCGACGTGCTTGCCTTTGCCCGAGGACCTGTCAGAGAAGCGTGGGCACTGGGCGCGAACCGACATGGACGAGGCTGCGTCGAGATGGCGGGCTTGGGTGATCGCATTCGTGTTCGGGGACTGCCGAGATTTCGGGACTGAGATGTGGGTTTGCTTTTTGGTTTGCATGATTTGTTTCCCACACTCGACGCCCAAAGGCCGGGGACCGTCGGATGGCCAGAAGGCTGGTTTCAAGTCCGGCCTGCATTCTGGGGTCTCCCTCGACTTGGAAATAGCAACGTGGGTTCCCCATTAGGCTGTCCAGGCAGTAGTGGTGGTTGCATGCCATGGGGGCTGCGGCGCGAGCTGTCGAAGCAACACGAGGACTACAGTACATCATGGGGCGTGGCATCAGCGGGGCGGGTCGCAGTTGGACGGCATGCGGCAGAGCAGCTGAGGTGGTGATTGTTGCCGGCTCGGTGGGAGCATGCGCAGATTCGTAATGGCTTGGGATGGAACGAGTACCGGCGGTTCATTGGAGCGGGTAGAGACAGAGCGGGATGGCAGCAGAGGACTGGAAACGGGGGTTGGAGGTGCATTAGGGCGACGGCGGACGCGTATTCCTGCCCTGGGGCGAGTGCAGAGGGCGTCGTTGGTGTGGTGTGGGCGGACCCCCATCGTGTGCTGCCTCGTGGTGGCAGCGTGGTGGCCGCACGGTAGCAGGCGGTAGCTGCATGGCTGGCGCACGTCGGTGAGGCTGATGACATGGGCGTGGTTCGGTGGCGCCTGTGGCCTTGGGAGGGACAGGAGAATTGTTTGGGGGCCTATCGGGCAGGGGACGGGATGGCAGTTTGGGCGAGGCGTGTGGGCTCTGAGGCCGCACCGGAGCCAAGCACAGCCGGATGATCGACATCGCTTGCTGGACTGGGAGCTGGCAGGCAGCTGGACTGCAGCGTTTTGCAATTTTAGACGTCGTCGTCGTAAAGTGCCGGCATTCCGTCACTTGCATGCAGCAGCAGGGAGGGCGTGCAGCAGCAGCAGCAGCAGCTGCAGGTCCAGATAGAGTTGAGGGCGGGCAGCCGTCGGCCGCCCATTTATGGGTTTGAGGATGTCATAGTTTATCGGGAGGCTGAAGGGCCCCGTCAACCGGGTCCACGCGCCGCAGCTAGCGCAAATCATATCATGATTGTCCTAAGGAGGGGGGACAGCGACTCGGCGGGAGCGCGTCGTCGCGCCGGGGTGCTGGGCGTGTGAGGTACTGGGTGCTGGGTGCTGGCGGCCAGGCGCCGCGAGAGGGGAGGGGGAGTCCAGCGAGGGCGGCGAGGGCAGCGAGGGCGGCGTAGGGGCTCTGGCGACGGGCGCGCGACGAAGCTGGACCGCGGAGAGGGACGCTCAGGGCCCGGGACTGTGGGTTGCGGCATGGATGGGTGGACGGATGGGTAAGACGACGCCATCAGTCGATCGAGCTTGCCGCTTCGGGGGCTGCTTTATTGGTGGGAGGAGCCGAGCTGTCGGACGGGGGCTGGACTGGTGGGCAGCCGTGGAGACGTCGCGGGGTGCTGCGAGGCGCTGCGAGGCGCTGCGAGGCGCTGCGAGGAGTCGCGGTGCTGGCGCTGCTGCTCGTGTGCCGCCGGGTGGTGCTGGTGTGCTGCTGGCCGTGGGCTCGAGTTATTTACCTGGTCCAGGCCGGCGCTGCGTGCAGCCGTCACGGCCGGCCTCGTACGACCCAGCGCGGCGCGAGTCGAGCGTTGGTTGTGAATTGCCATGGTGCGGTTCTGGCCGTGGAGTGCCCATCTCGCCGCCCGCTGCACGCTGCGCGCTGCGCTCGCCCGTCTGTGAATCCCGCCGCTCGTCGCCCACGGGGCGATCGCTGCTGCTATTCTGGGCATATGAACAGCATCCCCGGCGCGCAATAGCTGCCATATCCCTCTGCTTAACCCGCGCTGCTCCCAGCCATGATGGCCAGGGGGCGTGCCCACCCAGCAGCCCACAGACCACCGCCCGCCGCCATCTCCAGGGCCCACGGCCCTTTCCATCACCCACCGCTGCACTCGGCCCTCTGCCCTCTGCACTCGGCCCTCCACATCCACACACACCCCCCCTCCATCCGCCGCCGC